GGTGGTTAGAAAATAAATATTTTGTAGTATAAGTGAGAGGGTATGGGTAAAATGTGAGTTTTCTTGCGTGAAAAAGTGCAGAAATTATGGGTATCTGTCATCTTAAGACTATCTTAAGTCTATTTTATGGCTGAGCAAACTTTAAAGATAATTACATTAATGTCTTTTTTAGGAGAGGGAAGTTATTAGTGAGATTAAACTGAACCCTAAATGATACAACATGATCCTACTATAAAAGTAAAAGATATTCGCAAAGTTCTTAAGCAAGTTTTAGTCCTGATTTAGTTTTTTACCATACCCATTACCATCCTAACTATCTTCACGATTATTATCCCCATATTAACCTCTAATAATCCTCCTAGCCCTAACCCACTTAACTACTTAGCCCGCGTTGAAAGCAACGCTTACCACAGAGAGAGGCATACAAAAAAATATGTGTCCAGGTGTTGCAACGCTTTTTTTCGTACCACCTCTATGGCGTTCGCCAATAATTCACGACCCTGACGGGTTCGCTCTGCCTATGGGACGTGTCACAGCGCCGCAGAGATAAATTAGTTAATAAATAAAAAATAAAAAAAAGGGAACAAAAATGCCAACTAATTTGCATATTTGCCCTTTGAGCGGTGCTCATTGACAGTTGGGCTACGCGGAATACGCGGCCTCAATGCCAAAAGCCAATGAGGCGGACTAAAAATGCATTTAAACCGAAAACGGGGCGCTGGGTGGCTCTACTACCCTTTATCCCCTCTCTCTCCTCTCTTCTCTTCTCTTCTCTAAAGCGACTACAATTGCCATTTTCAGTTTTTCAGTTTTTTCTCCCTAACCTTCTGTTGTTGTATTTTTTGGCGGGACGCAGAAATTTTCGATTTTTGGCTGGGCTAATTTGCATATGACAAGGATATGCAAGGATGTTTCCCTATGCGTGTGTGTGTGTGTGTGTTTGTGAAGGAATTTTTGGCAAACTCTTTGCTGGGCTGAGCTGGCAGAGCTTGGTAGGTAGCGAAAGTGAAAGGATTCGCAAAAGGATAAATGCCCTGATTGCATACCAGAGACGGTTTTAACGGTCGCTGCATGCAAAATCGCAAAAATTGAAAATTTGCAGGAGGGAAAAAGAAAAAAAAAAGATGATAAATGACCGGGTTGCATCCACAGGGGGAGAGATTGGCATTTGCCTATATGCAATTTGCCTACAAGGAAGGATAGATAGAAAGACAGACAGATAGATAGATAGTTGACCTTGCCAAAAAAGAAGAAGGGTTGGCTTAAGGGTTGTCCTCAGGACTTCCTTCTATCCTGTTGTTTTCTTAAGTGTTCTTTTTTTTTCGTCCTTCTTTTGGCGCGCAAAAAAAATCATCGAGAGTTTGGGCATATGGTAAGGAGTTGTCCGAGGTTTCTTATGAGGATGATGCAGCTGAGGATGATCATGATGTGTCTTCCTAATGAAAACTGAAAACTTTGCTTGCAAATGAGCAGGGAGATAGGGGTTGGGGTGTAAGAAGGGGTTGGGGTGTAAGAAGGGGTTGGGTGGAAGGTTGCAAGGATTATTTGCATGAAATTTAATTTGAAGATGATGTAGGTAGGAAAGAGAGTAAGGATTAATTGTATGCGAAAGGTTCTTAATCGATTCTTCTCGGGGTTACCTAAGAAATCAAAGGGGGTTTTCTCTAAGGAGATCATGTTTATGGTTAGAAGGAAGCTGGCATCTAGAAGATGAGGCAGCTTTTTGTCTTGCTAAAAGAGAAAGTTAAAGTTGAAAAGTCCACAAACTCTCTTTAAAAACTACTCATTGTTGTAAAATTAACTTAATTTGTTAAAGTTAAAACCAAGTTACTATAACTTTAAACTAAAATAAACTCACTCCCACTGACAGACTTAATTCCGCTTCTGGCAAAGCCCATAAAGTAATGTTTCTCCTACCAAAAATCCTCTCCAAAGGCATCAGAAACAGCTTAAACGTATAAAATTGCTTTGCATTTGCCACAAATTACTTAATACATATATATAGATTGGCATATTTAGTGAGTTTATATATAAAAACATTAACCGTATTGCGCGATAAACAAGGCGATCAAAAGCAGACCAGTTTATATGTCTTGATTCGGAAATTATGGCACTTTAATTACCAAAGCAGATTTTTATTTTTTGCTAGCCAGACATTGGCAACAAATTAATGCAAAATAAGAAGTAAAATTATGCTAATAATTATAAGCAACAAGTGCTGTGCCGAAACGAGGTGTGATATCAGAGGGGGGGGGAACCTGGCATAAACTTAAGGTAGATGGCCATATAAAAATGCAGCCAAAATGCTAATCGGGCTCATTATCATCCAAATCAACGGCGCCGTGGTCGCAGCCGCGTTCGCGTCCGCCACGAGATCTCCTCCATTCATAAACGCAGCGTTTAGTTATATTTTTTTCCCTTTTTTTTACCATTTTTTTTTTTATATTTTCACTCGCATGCGGCGCTTAATTATGCAACAAGTCCTTTCCTGGCCACAAAAACCAAAAACGCGGCGCGTGCGCATTTAGCATATGGAAGGAAAAAACAGACTCACAGAGGGAGGATGGCCAGCAACAGCAGCAGCAGAGGAAACAGGATTTTCTCCTTCGACATTTGAAATTTAAATAGCATCTTTTTTTTCTACTGTTGTTGTTATTGTTATTTAGCGCCGCCACCTAATTATCATGTAAATTTTTGTCTAAGGACTGACAATGAGCGCAGGAGAGTGACTGTGACTTTATTTTGTCACTCGGGTTGGAAGCGCTCGTTCTGTGTTGGCTTATTAATTATGCCCAAGTGCGTGGCCAAAGGATATGGTCATGGTACCAAAAAAAAAAAAAACAAAAAAAAAAACAGAAAACGTAAACAAATTTCATGCAAATACGTTTGAACTTGTCTGGCTTGCGTCTGCTCGGTTGGATGACCTTAGTTTGCATAATTTTTTGATTGAGCTCTTGACCTGCCTCAAAGAAGAGGTTTAAAACTATGTTAAGAATGCTAGTGGGGGTGGAAGGGTGGCGTAAATATATTAATAGGGGAAAAGACTTAGGGTTTATTAAGAGAAAATATGAAGGGTAAAGCAGATAAGCAGATATACATTAAGTACTTAAAAGGGGCAACTTTTAACGTAACGTAGTAAATAGTTTAAGTAGAAATTTCTCTTAAATAAACTTCAAAAATTGTATAACAAATTAATAAAAAAACTTCTTAAAAAACCGAAAAATACTTTAAAATCTTTTGTTTATCTTTGTTTTCATTCATTCATTGTCTCAGCTTAGATTTTATATGTTTTCCGTTCGATTCTTGCCATTGTCCCCCAACGCTCCACTAAATCAAAAAACTCAAAAAACTCAAAAAACTTTACACTGAAAGACAAAAGTGGCTAAAAACTATAAAAGCTGGCCATTTCTTTAGCCATGCAAATTGGCTGGCAATTTCGCAAAACTGTTCGTAGAATCAATGAAGTTGACAGATAAAGTAAATCAAAGGCTATTGTCAGGGGGTTATAATTTAACAGTAAACTGGTCAAAACAAAGTCAAAAAGCACAAAGCCCAGAAAGAAAGAGATGTTAAGGTGTAAAAGAAAGGCACTTTTTTGGGTAGGAAAACAAAGAAAACTGTTAGGCATAAGAAAAGGAAAAATATAAGAGATTGCTAAGGCTGCTTTATGGTTTAAGAGTTAAGTTAAAGTTATGTTTATTAACAAAATTAAGGAAATTGTAAATGTTAATACGGAATATTAAAGTTTATAACTTAATTTACTTAGTATTTTTTAATCTTTTAACATTTAAACTTATTTTTCTTTAAGTTTATAAACAAATTCCTTCAAAAGAGCTGCCAAAGAGCTGCCTAACCAGACTAATTATATAATATTAATTAACTAAAAAACCACTTTCCACTCTCTCAACTCATATTAAATGTTAATAACTTGTTATAACCGTTTAATGCTAAACAAATGTTAACTTGGCCATAAAGTTGTATCTAAACACAGACTTGTTCTTGTTAAAATCACATCGGTAAAAGCTTAAATATTTGTTCTATTTATTTGTTTAATTCCTTAGCCTTTGTCACGAGTTCTTACTAATATGTTTCTAAAAAAGAAACAGAAAATTTCCCTCAATTTTCCCCCCCAAACGCACTCACAGAACACAAAAAACGAAAGGAAAAGTTGTCTGGCCAAGGAGCAGCAAGGAACTGAAACAAAGCTCCCCCCAAAATGAGGGAGAGAGCAGTCCTGGATGGCAAAAGCTCCAAAGGAAAACAGGGATCCATCCTTATTCCCGATTAAAAGGGACGAAAAAACCCAGAGAGATGCGCCGTTGCCTCAGCTCTCGCTCTTTCTCACTCGCACTGTTTGGGAGGGCAATTAAAAATGTCACTCTGCATGGGAATGCATTGAGGAAACTACTCCTCGTCGTGCCGGCTCTTCTTTTTTTTTTTCCTACTCTTCTTTTTTTTTTTTTTTTTTTTTTTTTGTTGCTTCTTCTGCTTCTGCTTTTTGGGGGCGTAACGCTGGAATATAGCGAACCCAATAGAGCGCAAGTCTCACTTCCAGTTATTCGTTGTTCAGGCTATCTCGCTCTTGGCTACCCAACTGGCCGTACTCTTCACACCAATAGAAGGCTGGAAGGCCAGCATACAAACTGGTTACGCTCGCAGGGGTGTGTGTGCTAACGAAACGGCTTAGATGTGTGCGTAAACGTATACGTGTGACAGAACGACGAGCGTCGAGAGCGCTCAACGTAGAGCTGCCGTGCGAGACATGACGTTAGTTCACTTCGATAGCTCTACGAGTCTGCACGTGAATTTTTCCTGGGCTCTACACTCGGCTGTCTGTCTTGACTTCTCAATCTCAAAACTCAAACAACATAATCTCATATCGGCGCTTCGGTCGAATCGGTCAGCTACGTTATAGAAGAAAACAAACACATCTCTAACCGAATCTGAATCTCAATCAGAGTTAAAGCGAAATTTCCCTCGAAATTCGTCATAAAAAAAAGAAGAAAAAAAAAATCAAGTGCCAAGTGTTAAGAGTGCTAAACGAAGTTCTTAAAATAAAAAGAAGAGAAATTTCATAACCAAATAAAACAAATAATTAGCCAAACGCTAGTCAAGCCAAGATAAACGTGAAACTCAAACCAAGCAAATTTGCCGTCGGATTTTCTTATTGAAACGCTGAAAAAAAAAACTTGTTGAGCGCGATAGAGGGCCACGCCCCCCCAAAAAAAAACAAAATAAAATAAGTTAAAAAACCAAAAAAAAAAAAGGGAAAAAACAAACCCAATATAGAATATATTTTTGCGCCTGCCACGTTGCCCGTAAAAGACGTCAAGACGGTTGCCTCACGGTTCGAGTGGAATGAGCATAGGGACCCTGGTCTTCCTTTCGATCGATCGGTGTACAAAGTCGTTAAACTGAGCCCCAACTTGGAGCCCTACCCCGCCAGCGTGGAGGGCCTGAACAGCCCCAGAGCGGTGGGGATGGCCGCGACCTCGTACATGACACCGCCGAGCGGTGATCTGGACATGGCCCTCGGTGGCGGTGGCTATCACACCTCGTCGCCGCGTTCCGCCGCAGATGCCGGTGAGATGAAGTATATGCAACATCATCATCATCATCATGCCGCCGCCGCAGCAGCTGCCCATCATCAGTTGCCCTCGTCGCCATCGCCAAATGGTCAGGGTAATGGCACCGGTCTCGGATTGGGTCCCGGTTCAGGATTGGGCTCATGGAGTGCCCTACATCCGGATCCATGGTCACTGCAAAGCCATCATACTCACCATCATCCCGCCGCCGCTGCCGTTGCTGCGGATACTGTGAAGCAAGAGATGTCACATCTCTCCCAGCAAACGCGCATCCAACAGGGCATGGCCTCGCCCCATGCTGCCTGGCATGCTCCACACGCCGGACACTATGCGTCAACGGGCGGTTCACCGTTGCAGTACCATCATGCCATGAACGGGATGCTGCATCATCCGGCACATGCGGCTGCAGCGGCCCATCATCAGAGTGTGGCTCCACTGCATCATGCATTGCGCGGCGAGTCGCCACAGTTGCACATACACCATCATATGGGCGGTGGCGATCGGGATGCTATCAGCGGCGGAGAGGAGGACACCCCCACATCCGATGATCTGGAGGCCTTTGCCAAGCAGTTTAAGCAGCGAAGGATCAAGTTGGGCTTCACCCAGGCCGATGTGGGCCTGGCATTGGGCACCCTCTACGGCAACGTATTCTCTCAGACAACCATTTGCCGATTCGAGGCCCTGCAATTGAGCTTCAAGAACATGTGCAAGCTGAAGCCACTGTTGCAGAAATGGCTGGAGGAGGCGGATTCCACAACGGGCTCACCGACGTCCATTGACAAGATTGCCGCCCAGGGGCGTAAGCGCAAGAAACGCACCAGCATCGAGGTGAGCGTTAAGGGGGCACTGGAACAGCATTTCCACAAGCAGCCGAAGCCATCGGCCCAGGAGATCACCTCGCTGGCCGACTCCTTGCAACTGGAGAAGGAAGTGGTGCGCGTTTGGTTCTGCAATCGGCGGCAAAAGGAGAAGCGAATGACGCCGCCAAATACGTTGGGCGGTGATATGATGGACGGCATGCCGCCGGGTCATATGCATCATGGTGGCTATCATCCGCATCACGATATGCATGGCAGTCCAATGGGCACCCATTCCCACTCCCATAGTCCGCCCATGCTGAGCCCACAGAATATGCAATCCTCGGCAGTAGCGGCGCATCAGTTGGCGGCCCACTAGCAATCAGAAATCCAGGAGTCGAACTCAGCTGCAGCTGCGTCCACTCCTGCATCCCTTAATAGTCTAAGCCAGCAACAGCAACAGCAACAGCAGCAGCAGCAACAACAGCAGCAGCAGCAGCAACAACACCAGCAACAGCAGCAGCAACAGCAACATCAACAGCAGCAACATACACCGAATACACCATCTTCCAGTGCGGGTTCATCGGCAACGATGACCAGCCAGGTGATGTCGCCACAAAGTCCGCTGGGCAGCTCCTCTGCTGGCAATCAGGCTAATAACAACAATAATAACAACAACAATAGCAGCACCAACAACAATAATAACAACAACAATAACGAGGAGCAAGTTAAACACCACCAGCAACAACAACAACAACAGCAACAACAGCAGGCATCCAGCATAGCAGCCGCTGCAGCAGCCGCCATGTACATGGATCCAATGCGCTATCAACATCCACACCACCCGCATCCACATCCGCACCAGCATCCGCACCTAAATCCCGCCCACCATCCGCACCTGTTCCATACCAGCGATCAGTTGCAACATTCCCAGCAACAGACCGTCGGCGGCGGTACCAGTAGCAATTCCCAATTGTCACCCGGCGCCGGTAGTAATAGTGGTTTACCGCTTCAGCCGCCCAGTTCTGCCTCGCCCGCTGGTTCCACATCCTCCGTACTCGGTGGCCATCTCAACTTGAATCCGCTGCACCAGCACCATCACTATCAGCATCATCATCACCAGCAGCACCATCACCACCAGCAGCAGCAACAGCAGTTGCACGCCCGCCGTCTCTTCGAGCTGAGTTTGCAATTTGGAGCGGCGGCGGCACCGGGAGCGGTACGACACTTCAATAGCTTCGGTGGGGCGGGCGGAGCGGGCGGTGAATAGCATTCGTCGGCCGCCTGGTTCGGCTATGAGTCCTCCTAGGATTCGGTGTCGAACGGGTGGCCGCAATTCAAGCGGGAGCAGCCCTAGAACAGTCGTACAGTCGAACTTCTCTAACGTGAATTTTATTTAAAGTTTAACTAATTCTGAGAATTTTTGAATATTTCGTAAGTCGAAAATGATAATTTTTGGATGTTTTTAATAACTTAAAAAAAATCAATTTTCTAAAGAAAACTAAATTCCTGTTAGACAAGCTCGACTGTAGGTAGAACTATGAGAAAATAGAAATAAGATGAGGTCCGATGATGAGGTTGAGAGATCATCTTTTTTACCAGTGCATTAATCTGTGTTAAACTTCAGCTTAGAGAGGGGGAGCAGGGAAGAGATGGGAGGGGAGAGGAGGCTGCCATCCACCAGTTTAGTTTGTTTTGAAAGTTTGAAAAACTTGCTTAAATTAAATCAAATTAACTAAATTAAATGTAAAACGATAAACAAATTTCCTTTGTATAAAGCGAAAGAAACACGCAATTCAAATCAAACGTGAAACCAAGTGATGTTGTTTTTAACCTAAAAACTAAATGCTAAAAATTAAACTAAAAAATGAAAACATATATAAACTAAACTTATACAAAAAAAAAACTAGTTAAAAGTGCGACCCAAGTGTTAAAGAGAAAAAAAACCAAAACAGATTCCTCAGCTCAGCTCTCCACAAGCAAGGTAAATGTTTCCAAGCCCAAAAAGTCCACAAAATTATTTTTCGTTTTCACAACACTTTGTCGTCGCCGTCTCTAGAACAAGTTAGAAAAACCGAACAGAAAGAAGGCTCAAATTGAAAACACAAAACAAAAAAAAGAAGCAGTAAGAAATATAGCTAGGGTTTAGGTTCTTAAGCAAGCCGTAAGCCGTGTTTATATATATTATATATATATAGCCAGTAGATCGTACTCTAAAAAGTTTATAAAAACAGAAAGTAAAAAAATGAAAACGAAACCATGAAAAAATGTAGAATTTAACGCGCGGCGAAGTAAACAAAAATTAAGGAGACGAAAAAATGATTAAGTAAAATATATATAAAAAAAAAAGAATTAAGAAAACACCCAAAACATCTGTAAATAAAAACTTACAGTTAAGTCATATTTTTTAGCTTTAAATGCAATTGTAGATTTTTTAATAAAAAAAAAAAACAAAAAACCTTAAGTAAAAACCATAAAAAATACCAACCACAAGAGAGTAAAAAAAAGTAAAGAACATTTACAAAACATAATTTGTAATTTCTAGGAGGTAATTTTTAACGAATAGGCACGTGAAGTTTAGTTACTTAGTACTGTACTTTCTATATAATAAGGAAAAAAAGGAAATCGAATGGAAAATCGAATCGAATATAGCTAAATCTTAAAATTTAATAAAAACCAATAATAATCAAATACAACAAATGCTAAATTGTAATATATTAATTGATGTACATTAAAAAAACAAAAACAACAACAAAAAACAAAAACAAAAGGCAAACTAAATGCTAAAACAACAAACTTGAAATTATTTCAAAAAACAAAAATAAACGAAAAATTGTGTAAAAAAAATCCTCTTTGTGTTTTTTCATATCTTTTTAGTGTACTTTTTCTAAAAACCTTTCATTTTGGGTGTAATTTTATATTCTAGAATTAAATGAAATTTTTGTTTAGTGTACTTTGTTTTTGGTATGTTGAAAACTAGGCTAAGAGAGAAGCGAGAGAAGCGAAGCCGAAAATTTAAGATTAAGCCATGCCCTCAACTGTATAATAGATTATACTACATATATATATAATATATATATGCCACAGCAAAGTCAACAAAGCGGTGCATTTCCACCCACACACCAATACACTTCCACACACCTACACACTGAGGAAAACCAAGAAGAAAAAATTGAAAAACCAAACAAAAAAACTCTTAAAAAAACAAATAAAAAAGAATATTATTCGAAAAAAAAAACATCAACACACTGCGTCCTTTTATTATTATTTAATTAGCGTTTTTAATTTTCGTCTTTTTTTTTTGGTTGTACAGTTTACGAGCCATTGGATTTGACAGTTTTACAGGTATTTAACGGCCTTCTTTTTGCAGATACGACGCTGATAGGGCGTTAATATCGTTGGAATCGAGCGATAATTGCGCGTATTATTAATTTCGTTTGTTTGCTTAAAGTGTTCGAAAAGCCATTAAACAATTAAGTGGGCATATTATAATGCGATTGCCTACGTCAGAGTGGCAATTAACTAACAAAACACCCCTCGGAGATCGAGTTCGAGCTCGTTAATGAAAGTTGCCATTAAAGAGCGTGGCATTTCTCGAAATTACCTTCTTTTTATAAGGTTTCCTCTCTCTCTGTTTGTCCTCTGGTCAGTGGACAATCGTCAAAAAAGTGCAAAAATAAATGACGTCAATCGGCGGGCTATTAAAGTGACAATTTAACAGATTTACGCGGTCGCCAGAGATTTATGGAAATTTCTCAAAAAGGGAGAGGGAAATTCTTTAAAATTTCACTTCTTTTAAGCTTTAATAATTTCTATAGAATTTAACTTAAATTTTAGTAATCACCCAACTTCTTCTACCATCACCCAAAAAATGAAAAACAAATCCATAAAACATCATTAAATGCGGCTCATTCCCATCTGCACATTGCCCCCTGCCTCGTCGTCATGGCCATCTAATGTCCCGCACGCTTTTAACATTTAATTCATAATTTAAATGCATATTTCATTGGTTGTTGATTAACAATTTCGTACACAAATGATATTGGTTAGTAATTCTGCATAAAAATTGCATCAGCCTGTAAATATATATGAAATATCCCGGCGAATCCTCAACCGCCAAATAAATTCGCATAATTGAAAGCCAGTTTTAGGCTTAAATATATATCAAAAAAAAAACAACAACAGACGCCACGAAAACAATAACAATAACAAACAACAAATAATAACAATAATATATAATACAGAAGCGCAAGTGCAATGATTTTTATTTATGCGACGGCAAAAGGTTTTTTTTATTTTCTTTCGAATTGAACTTTTGGCGCGTGGTTTTTAATGTTTCAATAAAGCGTACGGAAAATGGAAAATATAAATGAAAATTATATATTTTCCATACACACCCACTCGATTCGCTTCATGCCTTTGAACAATATTCGTATATAGATGGGCTATATAATTATTTTCAATGCTCTCTTAATTATTTTCTAACAACAGCAGGAATGAAGAAAATTTAATGGGGAAACAACATGGCTGCCCGCAAGCCTATTTATACGTTTATCTATTGCCACCTGCCATTTTTGGGGGTAGTTGAGAGGCACACACACAGGCACACACACACACCCACTCTAACCTGCCTTCCCCCCTCGGGCTATATAAACTTTTATATGGCAAACGGAAAGGAAAGGTTTTTTAATGGTCAGTGGTGCCGGCTAGTTACGCTTTAAGAATTTATGGGGATTTTTTGAAGGATTGTCCAAGGGAAATTCCTGACTGATTAATCATAGTTAATGGAATTTGGTTTATTTTAATAAGGAAAATAACTCAAATGACTCACTTTTATTTATTTTATTAACTTATGTTTATGTTTTATAGGTTTCTTTAGGTGTAGTAACCCTTAGTTCTTCTTTTTATTAAACGAAAATTACATTTTAATATCTTTATTTCCCTTCCTCCGCCTAATGACTGTTATACAGCCATTTTTATAGAGCCACTCTATGGTTGAAAAGCACATTCCTTATTATTTGATGATAAAGAAAATAACCACTAATATACGAGGGCAAATTGTAGTTTTCATTGGTTTTAATGTTGCTGTGCGTGCCGTGCCAAGTGCGACAGCAGAGGCGGAGGCGGCAACACCCCCTATCCTACCCTACCCTACCGTACCCTACCCTATCTATATAGAGAAACTGAAATGGAACCCCTCCTCGAGGCGAATACCGACATTTTCATTATTATTTCGAGTGGAGTTGGTTATTTTTTCGCGTGGCAAAGCAACACGCCGCCTGCTTTTGTACATTTCTCTGTGTGTGCTTTTTGGGCTGCGTGCATACAACCGTGTCAATAATTACCCGTGGGACTGACACGACCAACGAGAATCATTCAAATGTTGCAAAGCCAGCAGCAGAGGCAGCGTCAGAAGCACCACACTAACAATGGCTAAAAACAAAAGCTACAGCGGCAGCTGCTGGGAGAGACAGAAGCTGGTGGTAAGCAGCAGAAGTTGGTAACGTAGTTCGTTTTGGGCCACAATGGCCAGGCATATTGCCATTGTGGCAGTACACTGGCAGTGGCAAAATGGCTGACACTGGGCAACGTCACCAACGGGTGAGCGGGCTGACGAACTGCCCGACTGACCAGCAGCCAGCAGGAGCGGACTTCCGAAGGTTGGGATTTGAGTTTAAAAAATCTGGAAAAGGGAAGATACTCATTAGGAAATATCTTTAATTTCAAGTTAAGATTAAGATTAAGATTTAAGTACAACTTTTTCCTATTAACTAACTTAAAGAAAACCTTCTCAGCAAGTTTTTCTTTAAACTCCTCAAATCCAGCCCTGTGATTGGGCCGCACTTTTGGTCTGTCAGACTTGGCTTTTGGCTTCGGCTGGGCGACTTTTCCACTGCCATTCGGAGTGTCGGGGACTCTGTGCTCATTATCTATGCTTCCTTTGGGAATTTTCATTTTCTTTTTCCGCGCTGCTCTTCGCTTTTCTTTCTCTTTTTTTTGAGTTTTTAGCCGTGTGCGTTCGTGTGCGACATTTCTGGCAAGAAAAACAAAAGAACAGACAAAAGAACAACACTATCCAGATGGGAAGTGTATGTATATATCAGGTAATATAGGTGTACTTGGATATATTCTTAGTTCGTTCCGAGCCAAATCAGTGCGTTAGCCTGTGCTAATTACAAAATTTATTGCCTCTTAACGGAGCCCTCGAAAACGCAAGTCAAATGCAGTCAAAAGCGTTGGAAATTCTTTTTAACAACCCACAAAAAACTGAGCTATCTTTAGAGATATATAGCTATATAGAAAGAGAGATAGAGAGAGAGGGGAGAGATACTCCCACTAGCAAATTAAGCTGTGACTGTGTGTAAAGTGCAAGCGAAACAAGCCACAAATTGGGATGAGGCAGGTGAAGGTGGTGCTGGTGGTGCTGGTGGTGCGGGGGCTGCCATTGCCATTCGACACCTTCGACAGCAGAGGCACTTACAGCGCTGGATCAGCAGACACCTAGACAAATAATGCGGGCTATGCTATATATGGAAGATCATGGTGATATATGTGTTTGTTAGCTTCAGGGAACATCAAGGGGTGGATTAAAAGGTTTTTTGGAAAGAAATTGGGAGAATTTATTAGGCAATCTATTAGGTTTAGGCCCTATCACCACTTATGGTAATGAAAGAGTGAGCTTGGAAAAGTGTTTTACTTTTATTCCCTTTTAAGCCATTACAACTTCTTAAACCACTCTCGCCAGGCATCTATCTAACACTGCAATCGAGTCTGAAACAAACATCTCTCTCTAATAAGCAAACGCAATTGATGGCTGAACCATGACATTGTCGCCGATCTCCGGTCTCCGGCGAGTCACCATGTGCAGTCCCAGGCCAAAACTGTTGAAA